AATATATATTTTATGTATACATGCAACTTAATAAAAACAACATACAGTATATACAAAAGTCAGTATGTTTTTTCGCAGTAATTTATTTTAAAATGCATGTCTATGTTTTATATTTACTCATATAATATCTACATGTATTGATAGGTTTTAGGATGAATATGCATGTGCATGACATACGTCTAAAAATGCATTACACACATAAACATGCATATTTTTATGGGATAGATCTATATGTTAATATATGAAACCAATTTCTAATAGGTTTCATTAATGCTTTCACTTCATATGACCATATATTTTATACATGGAAATTTAATATATGCACAAATGTTACATTTGCATATGGGTCAAACAGATTTATGTATTTGATTGCATATAAATTTTCATGGATTTGGATGACAGAGTTTTAAAACTATTAAACATAATGCGATGCATATGTGCCAGTTATACAGAAATGAAACAGGTAGGATTTCTGTAATAGAGCCAACTAACTGAATGCGTTTTAAATATGCAATAACCAAGTTTATATTTAGCATCAATAAATCCAGTTTGCATCAATCTCATACAGTAATTGAATATTGCTTGTTCCAGAGCTAGTCATATTTATCCATGTTCATACTTTTTAACGATAGATGTAATGATTTTAAGATGATTTCAAACAATTTGAATAAATGCATTTTATTCTGAATAAAACTGAATACCTCTGGAATATATTAAAGAATATCTGATTATGGAAGCATAAAGCTGGATCAGTTAAATTTGAAATGTAATATGCAAAGTGCCATTATAATATGTAAAGTGCCCATGGCAGGTGAGGACATGAATGTTAATGCAATCACTCAGAATGTATTTTTAAGTCCACATACATTCATTGTGTAGCATGCAAAAACGATTTCAATTCAAATACCACTTAATTGTGAGTGTAAGTGCATTTGAAGGAAAATGCATGCAAAAAAACAATCTTAAAATATTCCTCCATTTCTACAAATGCATTTCCATTTTAATTTTGCTAATTAGAATGCATTCATTTAATTTAATTCATTTAATTTAAATGTTCATCCTATTGAAGGAAATAAAAAATGCTAATTAAATTATTAAATTAGAATTTTCAATTTTGCACCAGATGTCACACCAATGGCTATGGGAAATATAAAATCAAAAACACAAATTGTTCATATAATATTGATATTTTGCATACTGCATTTGAAATGTAATACTTCCATATACAGTATAATTTATAAGAGTAATTCTAGCTAAACTAAGTTTATATCCAGTGAGGCTTTTAAACACAGCATTAAACTGGATGTAGAGTAGTGTTTAACTAATCTATCTGCTTCAGCTCACTTTCTAATCAAACTTCAGAAACAACGCGCTCAGCTAGTCCTGAGATTATGAGTGAAATCCGAGAGGGAACTTAGTGCGAACAGAGCGAGGCCGGACTGCAGAGCAGATGATTCACATGACGGCTGAATGAGTCAGTGTCTCCTCTGCATACTAATAATCACACCAGTTTACTAACGATGGGAAATTAGCGCTGGTGTGAAGTTGAGGAAACACCAGCGCTCCGGCCCGTGCAGAAAACTGCTTGTTGACACTGGGAAACATATTTCTGTCGGCACTTCATCAATATTTATGCTCAGACGCTACTGCGTGGTGAGAGCTAGTTGAAGTAATTAACTGCCACATGGTTCACTTTCACACAAACTGACTCACTCCCACCGTAACTCTCTGTGTGTGTGTGTGTGTGTGTGTGTGTGTGAGAGAGAGAGAGTGTGTGTGTGTGTGTGTGTGTGTGTGAGTGTGTGTGTGTGTGAGTGAGAGAGTGTGTGTGTGTGTGAGAGAGAGAGTGTGTGTGTGTGTGAGTGAGGGAGTGTGTGTGTGTGGGCGTGTGTGTGTGTGAGAGTGTGTGTGTGTGTGTGTGTGTGTGTGTGTGTGTGAGTGAGAGAGAGTGTGTGAGTGAGTGTGTGTGTGTGTGTGTGATGGGAAATGAAGAGAGCCGGAGGAAGAGGCACGGTGGTCTGTCAAGTGCTTGAGAGTCGGCATGTGGCGCATTTTCGCCCTAATTACCATGCAGCATATGTTTGGTTAAACGCGCTAAACCTGCCGAACTCTAGATGACTGTTCACACACTACTGCCTAACCTCTGCAGAGACGCATGGAGTCGCTGGAACCCAGCCAGCGCAATTTACTCAAGTCCATTCAGATCACTATCAAGGGCGCTGATCACAAAAGGTAAAGGAAAAGGTGTGTGTGCGTGCGTGTGTCTCATTTTTAGATTTGTGTTATTTCATATGAAAAGGTTACTGCTGAAATCATATTTTTCCACTTCATGCCTAAAGTACCAGACCATAACCATCATAGAAACACATTTCCAATAGCTGATTCTTAACTATTACTGTATAAACACTGTTCTTTTTAACCTTTTATTTATCAAAGAATCCTGAAAAAAAGTAGCACAGGTCCAAAAAAATATTAAGCAGCACAACAGTTTCCAGCACTGATAATAAATCAGCATATTACAATGATTTCTGAAGATCATGTGACACTGAAGACTGGAGTAATGATGCTGAAAATACAGCTGCACATCACAGGAATATATTATATATTAAAATATATTAAAATAGAAAACAGTTATTTTAAATTGCAATAATATTTCACAAAATTCCAGTTTATTCTGTATTTTTAATCAAATAAATGTAGCCTTGATGAGCATAAGAATCATCTTTAAAAAGCATAAAAAATCTTACTGATCCCAAACTTTTGAACGGCACTGTGCATGTATGTATATATATATATATATATATAAAGTTGTCCAAATGAAGTTCTTAACTATGCATATTACTAATCAAAAATTAAGTTTGGCATAAAAGAAAAATCTATAATTTTGACCCATACAATGTATTGTTGGCTATTGCTACAAATATACCTGTGCTACTTATGCAGGGTCACATATGATGATGTCCCTCTCACCTGGTAATGAGGCAGCAGTCGTGGATGATGCTGTCCTCCACATACAGCCCTCTGTGCTCCAGCGTGTGGACGGGACGCTGCTCGTGGCTCCAGGACAGTCTGACGGTCGGATCGAGGAACGAGGCAGCGCACTGCAGCGGCAGACGGTCCCCACGAAACACCAGCTGCCGCTGGGTCGGGATGAGCTGCAGGACGGGGAGCTCCAGCGGGCCGTCTGAAACACAGATCACGGAGATACAGGCGCAAAATCAGGTGGGCAGACATGAAATAGTTTTGGGCGAAGTGACATACCAATCTACTCTGAACAGCATCCCTTTCATTAACTCTTTCCCTGCCAAACACAGAATTTTCCGTGTTTTCACTGTTATAAACTCGGGGCGCTATTACGCATCTCCTGAATGAGTCTAGAATCCCTCGATCAGAAACACAGACGAGGAAGCCGCAGAAACGAGATACAAGCGGAAAATAATGCGATCATCAACACTAACCGCATATAAATGAAAACTGCCTAATGTTACGGAGTGAAATGTCGATCCATAAAGTGGCAAAGGACTGTGCAAGCTTTGCAGATGGAAGCACCTACTGCATCTTTGCTTTGGTAATATTACTGAATATGATCCAGATGTAATATCTGATAAAAAATGCTTTTCTAAAAATTATTTTTTTATGAAACCTACCTACATTCAAGAGTTGGTAAAAAAAAAACAATGCTTGAAGCTAGAATAAAACTGATTTTTATTTATTTTATTTTATTTTATTTTTTAAAGTAGAGGGTTTGTTCCTTATGTTGATGTATTGTATGTTCAGATATTCATACAACAAAATATTCTGGGGGCCATGACATTTTAGTGAAAATCATCAAAACCGCTGACGGTGGCTGGCAACTTTTTTCAAAAACGCTGGCAGAGAAAGAGTTAAATTATTTAAATAATTAATTCAACCAAGGTACAGTGAACTAATATGGTACATATGCCAAAAAAGGCTAAACAAATCCCTGGTGAAGCACCACTCATATTTACATTTTAAAGAATCCTATTTAGTGTTCCTAATCCTAAAACTCTGTCACATTAAAGGGGTCATATGATGCTGCTAAAAAGAACATTATTTTGTGTATTTGGTGTAATGAAATGTGTTTATGCGGTTTAAGGTTCAAAAAATACATTATTTTCCACATACTGTACATTATTGTTTCTCCTCTATGCCCCGCCTTTCTGAAACACGTCGATTTTTACAAAGCTCATCGGTCTGAAAAGCGAGGTGTGCTGTGATTGGCCAGCTATCCAGTGCGTTGTGATTGGCCGAATACCTCAAGCGTGTGACGGAAATGTTACGCCCCTCACCATACTGTGATGCTGTGTCCCAGCCGGAGCGACGAGACAAAAACATTAAAACCCATTATAAACGAGGCATTTGTTGCATCCAGTGGGGACATAATTACTGATTATAATGACTTATGCTGTCTTTTTACGCGTTGCATTGCATCACGCCACGTAAACATAAAACCATGTCTGCATTTGTTATCGGAGAAATGACAAACAACAAGCGCTACTCTACACTGCGGGCTTGAGAACGGCGGCCGGCGGATTCGACTAAGGGCTTGCGGCAACCACATGTGATGACCCAGCGCATATCGTCCTCTTTTGGAAGACCAAACAAAGTAGTTTCGCTTTCACAACGAAGCACACAGCGTCTTCACGACACGGCGGCGGCGGCAACAATACTACAGCGAGAATAAAAGTTACGCCTTCTTTCTTTGCGTGAACATTTGGGCGGCGTTATGCAAATCTTCCCACATAGTGATGTAGACATGTGGGGGCGTGTTAGAACGAGCCGTTTTAGGTAGGTGTGGTTAACTCTTAACTTTTATAAAGAATATCTCTTTGGATTTGAGACTTTAGTCTTTGCAATTTTACAGATCTTCTTTATGCACCAAGAGCTTGTAACACTCCAAAGAGAAAGGAGAACTTGAAAAACAAACAAGTAAACAAACTGGTATGAGATCATAACTCCAAAGCTTCACACAGGGACCAAGTGCATTTTAATTATGTGTCAGATATAGGTTTGTAACGTTTGTGGTTGGTTTCGGTCTTTGTGCCTCAGGCGTTTTGTGTCCCGCAGGTTTTTTTAACAACTGACCCGCTCCACAACTAACTTTATAACGAGCATCTCATTCACACGCCGCTGCCTCCTGTTAAACTCATGACTCGGGCCTGAGTCACCGGCAGCCCCTTTAACAGTCAGATGCACGCAGCTCAAACATCAGTTAGATGGTGGTTTTCTCCAGATATCTTGTATGACACAGTCTGGCTCATTTCTTGACTTTTATGTCAAGCAAAGCGAATGAAATGAGAGCCAAATTAAATTTAATGTGTGGGTTCACTTAGAAGTTATTATTGGAAGAAGTTACTGAAATCTGACAAAACCTCGTACAGAAATATACTCAAGTGTTTTAAAAAGTACTTTTTAAAAAACTGAAAGTGACAAAAAAAAAGATTCATAAAGATGGGTAAAGAATGTTTTTTTTTATTTTTTTAAATAGTATATAAATAATATTAAAATAACACTGGACTGGTGAAGCTACTCTAAAACTGTATTTTCCAGCATATGCACATAATTAAAAAAAAAGTTTTCAACCGTAAAATGAAAAGAAAATACATTTTATAAAATTAGACAATAGATAACACTGCTTTTGTGCTCCAGGGTCACAAATATCTAAAACTACCAGATAATATAAATGATTGTTGTGATCAGCAGTGTTTAAGTGGCACAGAAACAATAAAAGTGGCGGCATTACACTTGAACACTAAACAGAACTGATAAAATACAAACAAATCTTTTTTCAAACCAGTTCACTGAACTGAATCATCTGAACGAACTGATTCACTAAAATGAATCCTACTTCGCATGCAAGCACAGAAGCGTTTTGACATGTTCAAGTAGTTTGATACTGGAGAAAAATAGTGTATTTAACATGTTGATGTCAAACTCTACAAGAATCACTAATTTCCTGCACTATACACTGCCTAAGTCTTTTCAGGCTGTAGTATTCAGACAATACTTCACACGCAGTTCATCCAAACACACAGACATGCAGAAATGACTCCCAAACGTCATTGAGCGGAGCCTCAGGACGGCGTACCCACTGGAGGAGTGAGTTTTAGTGAGCTACTGAAGTTAAAGCTGTGAAAATAACCACTGTAATGCTATAAAAGACGATCCAGCTGTGCCACAAATCACTCTGCCAATTCACCTCCGTATAACACACACACAAACCACACGCGCACTTTACAGCATTATGAGCTCTTCTGCTGACATTAAATACAGCAATAAGCCACCAGAAGCCATGAGATACAGAACTGTTACTTAAGAGCACTTAAGAAGAACCGGCACACTGAATATAAAGCACAGAACAGCAGCTACAGCAATATGACCAAACATCGATCCATGTTTTTCTAGAAATATTTACATGTATCTACAGCTAATGTGCAGTCGGCAATATATTTTATAATGACTCAAAGGCAAAGGCTCATCCAAAAACACCCAAAACATTTTTTTTTCTATTCATCAATGCAAATGCAACTATGCAATTTAAGCTTATTATGAACTGAACGGGATTGACAAAAAAAATGTGGGCGTGTTTGTGCAACAATGTTTTATTTTTTAATTCCAAAAATGCAAAATAAAAAAAAATGATATATTTTTTTTATCATTTTATTTAATTTATAAATAAATACATTTGCATGCTATGTAAACAAGGCCATTCTATTAACACTCATTTTCACTTTAAGGAGATGCATGTAGTATTTGCAACACTTTGCAACTGTTTAACCGTTTAAATGTTGATGTGTTTGTGCGTCACCTGATTTTCTGAATTCCTTTTTCTGAATTTGAGTGAATTGCAAGCTAAACAAAAATGCACACAACACATGCAAATACAAATTCATCAGTGGGCATAATTCATTCTTACTGAATATATTCTCACTCAAAAATGTGGGCTTGTTTGTGCAATAACACATCTTTTTTTAATTGTAATAGTGCAAAATGTGGGAAGAAATAAAGGGTTGCAACAGCAAAATAATAATAATAAAAAATTATGCACACAGCACATTCGAATATTATGTCATCGGTGTGCGTAACTTGTTCTTTCTAAATACATTTTTACAGAAAAATGGGGGTATGTTTGTGCAATAGTTTTTATTCTAAACAGTAACAGTACTGCAACAGTAAAATTCAATAAATAACTTTTTAATGATTTAATTTAATTTATAAAAAATATATTTTATTCCTGCATTCTATATAAACAGGGCTGTTTTATTGACATTCATTTTCACTTCAGAGGAGATGCATGCAGCATTTGCAGCACTTTTTAGGGTTATAATTTTAGGGTTATTTTTGTCCATTTGTCAATGCAAACTCCTGTTATGCAAATGAGGCTTATTACGAATTGTGCATATCCTGATTTCCTTTAACGAATTAGAGAGAACTGGCTGCTAAAATACACACACAACCCATGCAAACACAACGGCATCAGTGGAAATCATTCATTCTTACTGAATTCTCTCTCTTTTTTTTGTCTCTGGAGATAGCAAAACAGATATTTGTTTGATGTTTTTCCACGAGGGCTGGTGAACATCAGTGAAGTCTTACCGCAGGTGAGCTGCTGCTCCTGAAGGCTGCGCAGCTCCAGTCCACGAAGACGAGTCGGGTACACGCATACAGATTCATTCCCCACACGCACCGCCTGAGATCTGATCCACGACAACAACCAGCGCAGCTGACAATCACAGAACAGATAGTCTGTGCCCACGTGCCTGAAAAACACACAGCCACAGCACCTCCATCACTCACATTCACTCATATCTGTTAATGCACTGCAGGAGAACAACATCTGAATAATCACTCTACACTCTTAAAAATGCTGGGTTAAATACAACCCAGTGCTGGGTAAAATAGGGACAAACCCAGCAATTGGGTTGTTTTGACCCAGCGGTTGGGTTAAATGTTTAACCCAACCTTCTGGGTAGTAACCCAACCACTGGGTCAAAACGACCTAATTGCTGGGTTTGTCCCCATTTTACCCAGCACTGGGTTATATTTAACCCAGCATTTTTTAGAGTGTACACTTTTTAAAAAAATGCTGGGTTCAGCTTGTTGGGTCATGTTATTAGGTTGTTTTTAATTTTTACCCAGGTGCTGGGTAGTTTTCTGTAACTAAGTTGCTGGGTCATTTTTAACGCTGGGTTATTTTTTTCTACCCAACCACTGAGTTGAGCTTGTCTCCGCTGAAACAACCCAGCTGCTGAGTTACAGTCAGAGCATATTGAGTCCTCTACAGGAGAGAGCGGATCTCAACGCCGGCGATTTGGTGCACTTCTTTAGCAAAATAAAAGATTACATACATTTAATTCCATTTATAAAGTCTTTACTGTGCTGTAAATTATATTATTTTGCGCAATGCAATATAAGGATGAGATGTCAGCTGCGTTTTGGAGTCAGTCATCATGGCATCTTTCAGCTACGAGTGAAACGCGAGGCGGCGGTCTTAAGTTCGCAGTTCCTGCTCCGATTCGGCGACACATCGGCATGAGAATTTGCGTTATTTTGATGAAAAGTGATTACAGAGAACGGTTGAATACACTTAAATTAAAATGCTACTTTTAAATGTTACATTTTTTATTTCTAAAATCCTTGTTAAACGAGTTTAAATGTATGTGATATTGTAAACTATGCTGTATTCACCCAAATAAATTCAATTTGTCTTGTATTTTGTCCATGGGTGTTCTTGCTTAGTAATAAATGTTCATCTTTTGATTATTGCTGTTGCCTCTAGTAATTCTGTGTGTGTAAAATCCTTGTTAAACGAGTTTAAATGTATGTGATATTGTAAACTATGCTGTATTCACCCAAATAAATTCAATTTGTCTTGTATTTTGTCCATGGGTGTTCTTGCTTAGTAATAAATGTTCATCTTTTGATTATTGCTGTTGCCTCTAGTAATTCTGTGTGTGATTTTTAATTTCCAGCCCATTTTAAGCCAGCAATATAATATTTTTAAACAATAGTTGACCTAAATAAAAACAACCCAGCATGGTGGGTAAAAACATTTAACCCAGCCAGCTGCATGTGTTCTGTCCAGTATTTACCCAGCGCCGGGTTGCCAAATAACCCAAGTTGGGTTGTTTTTAACCCAAAATTTTTTAGAGTGTACTGTCTTCTGTAGAGCTGCATTACTTTTATTCACATTAATTATTCTGCTGTTTATGAATAATAGCAACATCTAGCTCCTCTGCATTACTCTGACTGGACTGACCGAGATTCTGATCACTCTAGTTAGGCATCGTATGCAATAGAAATGCAATTTATGCAAAAAAAATTATAAATAAAAAATCCAATATCATAAAAACAATTACGAATACAGCAGTGTTTCCATTCCATGTGTCTAAATAAACAAAATAAACGTAATAATTTACTTGTGGTATCAAGACAACAGATTCCGAATTAATGTAATAGCTAAAAACAAAATTACTACAACTTTCAATAAAATGAAAGTGAAAACATATCAAATTCAATTCAAATTATTAACAAAACCATGAAAATATATATAACTTTAACTAAAGCTGAAGTGAAAACAAAAAAATATCAAATCGGATCACAATTCATGCAATCCGTGAAATGATTTACAAACCCAATTGGAAGTTCTGATCTGAATAAAATGATTCGCGATCCGCACTACGAAGTCCCGATCTGAACAATGATTTGCGAACCATCATTTCAGATCAGAACTCGGAGCACAGACTGTGAATTTGCAAAATGATTGGCGAACCCCCTCCGAAGTTCCGATCTAAATTAAAATATTCACGAACCCGCTCCGAAGTTCTGATCTAAATTAAAATATTTACGAACCCGCTCCGAAGTTCCGATCTAAATTAAAATATTTGCGAACCCGCTCCGAAGTTCCGATCTAAATTAAAATATTCACGAACCCGCTCCGAAGTTCCGATCTAAATTAAAATATTCACGAACCCGCTCC